TAGCTATTGCTAAATTTAATTGGGCAGTTTAATTTCCTGCATGAGAACGGTTGTACAAATTTCCGAGAATGATCTGCATGGTACGAAGAAATTTTTTTTAAAATTTTCAAAGGAATCTACCCAAACGTGCTCTTGTAAAAAATTAAAGTGTCCGGCAGGCTGATTGTTGAAATTTTGTGTTTGTCGAGTGGAAATGGATGACATAAGTTAAATGGCGAAGCGTGATTGGTCGGCTATGTCTTATCGCTACTTTTTCATGCTTTGTCGATTGGAATGGACGACGAACTTAATGCACCTCTCGAGTTTCCGACAGTTTGTCGTCCATTCCAATCAACAAAGCAGCGATAAGACACAGCCGACCAATCACGCTGCGTCATTTTACATATTTCATCAATGTCCACTCGACGAACACATTTCAACGATCAGGCTGCAGTTAAATTTGGCAATAGCTGATGTGGCCTGGTTCTTTTCTACTAAACGCGGTCCATATGATCGAGCGGACTTTGCACCCCCGGGGCAGAATGACGCAGCCCCTAAATCAGTTCCGTCGAACCTAACACGAACTGCATAGCAATCAACATCGCAAAAGCCGCAGTTCCACGAAAACCCTTGCTCGAGCTCCCCGGAATAAATTCGTGACGTCAGAATAAAAACCAAGTTAAATGATAGTCCGCTCCGTCCTCTTACCGTCTCCATCCGCGAGGATTGCTGCCGTGTGATGGAAAAAAACAGTAGGTGAATTCTGAGATGAGCCTCGAGACACATTCTTACGTGTACTAATCGTGGCTCATATAAAGATGGATTCATCGCTCTTTTCCGTGACACGGGAAAATGCAAGTCGAACGCCCCACAGTGGATCGAGTCAATAGAGGAAGTTGGACAAAATTTGGAAACTTTAAACGCTTCTAACTCCGTTTAATAAAAAAGTTGAGATTTTGAAAATAGCTCCATTGTTTTCCTAACAAAAGTATCCTCTAGCGGCAACCTTCAAAATTTGAAATATGACAAATCGCCGTCCCCCGGACAAAGGGACGTAACTCCATTCCAAGGTTGCCAAATTGACTGAAACAATAGTTTTATTTTACAAAAATGTATCCGTGCAATTTTATCCCGACTTTGTCTAAATTTTGCACGGAATCCGAGGAACAATCAGTGAAATTTTCAGTTAGAAATACCCAAGATTCTCCTGGTTGAAATTTAATTTTCGAGGGAAAATTTGGCAACGTTGAAAGGTAGTTACGTTCTTTCGTGCGGGAAACAACGAAATGAGGCATCAAAATTTACAGTTTTAGACAAAAATCTCACGTCCGACCTCTCCGATTGACTCGATGCACTGTACGCCCTTCAGCAGTGCTAGCGTTAGCGTCAGCGTTAGCTTTGGCGTTAGCGGAGGATGAATGACTTTTATTTCGGGAGGATGGAGTGCCGTGGGGNGGGGGGGGGGGGGATTTATGGCTCGTTCCCCGAATCAGGACCCGTGAAAGCGGCGGCGCCCTCGCCCGGAAATTGGAAGCGAGTCAAATCCACGTCTCCAGGAGAGGGAACGTGTGTCCGTGTCGCCGCGCCGGTGAGGGAATGCAATTTTCCATGCGCCCGTGGTTTTCTGCCTAAAAGGGGATTCCTCAAATCCTCATTCCAGCACCTTTTAAAACTAGTTTGGGAGGAACACTTCTGTGAACAATAATAACAAGAAATTTAAAGCCAAATAACTGCATTTTGTACATAAAAAATGAATCAATGTTACATTTGGATTGCATTTTGCAACAAGGAACCAAGAGCATTTCAATGTTGCTAGGATTGTGCAACTTACACTTTTGGCGACACATTTCGACGGTGAAAGTCGGCAATCACATAACTCGGTTTGCGATGTCGCAGACTTCCTGTCATACTTTATTTTTTAAACGGAAAACTACTCAACGGTAATTCTTTAAAACTGCCATGATTTTTCTTCATTGTGCGAAGAAAATTCTGCAAAAACTTCAAGGAATGATGTCAATTAGTTCTCCTTTAAAAGAATAACATCGAGGCGGAGATTTTCAGACACCGCAAACGAGTTATGTGATTGCCGACTTGCACCGTCGATTTACTGAAATCATGCAAAAACTTAAATTTACAAAGGTAATTTTTGTCATGAATTTATAATTTATTGAGATTAAAGATGAATCCTCTCTAGATGATCAGTTTATATTTTCAAGGTAAAAGGTAAACAAAGTTGCACAAGCTTAGTGACATTGGAATGGTCTTGCTTCCTTTTTGCAAAATGCAATCCATTTTACCTGAAGCTTTTCAATCATCCTCAGAGGTATCAATATTGCAAATACAATGTTAAGGTGAAGTGTACATGGTTGATAGAAACAAAATAAACAAAATAAAACAGCAAAACTAAACAACAAAACAACAAAGCTAAACAACAAAATTAAACAAAATAAATTGTATTTGCAATATTTATACCTCTGAGGATGATCTTCCGTGATCAAAAAGCTTCAGGTAAAATGTGACATTGGTTCGTTTTTTACATACAAAATGCGGTTATTTGGCTTTGACTTTCTTGTTATTAATGTCCTCATTATATTAACTACTAACTGCAACGTGTTTAATTGAAAACTGCTGTGCCGGTTAGGAAGGAAACTTCTCATTTCACCATGTAAAAGCTCCCCTAATAATTATTTGTGTCGAGGTGCGTCCTACAAAGTAATCAAAAAATCTCGCACCACTTAATTGGACTACATTCTGCGATTAGGAACTATAAGTTCTGATTCAGTTCCAAAACGACGTATGTGCCATTAGTTTCCCTGGGCACATAAATGTTTCTTTCGGATGAGCCACAAATTATAGTTCCTAATTGTGAAATGAAGTCCAATTTTGAGTATTGGTGGACTACGATCCTTTTCATGCGGACTATCACACACTTGAATTTTTTGACGGAGAGTAAAAACTCACTACTGCGACTCGGTATTATCAATCCCCTCTTCTCTCTCGAATTCGTGAATCAGTCGCTCACCCTGGGCGATAGATAAACGTTTCAGTTTTCTCATCACGATAAAAGAAGGGAGGGCTCAAAGAACCTTTGCAAAAGCAAAAGCAACAAGAATAGCTGAAGTATATTTACATAAGAGTCATTAAACTTTCTGAGCCAGGAAAAGAGGCAGAAACCTCTCGCTCCTACCACAAAAGATTATTATCACTGCTTCGTAACACTCCTAAAAATCGGGTGCAAAGGGGCTTTATTTGACTCAGTGATATAACTGCGCAGCATTCATTGAGGTGATTCAGACCCGCTCCGAGGAAAGGGATGTTTCCAACTCCTGGCACCGCCTTTGCTTTGTGGTTTTTTCCCGTAAAGCGACTGTTGAACGTAATTGTTTACGTTCAACAGCATAAACTGCAGTCGTAAATTTAATGACAAAATGCACGAGTGTTCTATATGAAATCAGGCATTTTACGAATATAAAGCAGAAACTCCGCCTTGTTTATGACACCCTTGAAATGATGTACTATTTATATAATTGCAGTAAAAGTCGCGCATTAGCCGCTCTGTTTTTTTATCTATGAAAAAAAAGGGAAAGGTACGCAAGTATTAGAATCCTCCTACTATTGTGTAGGTGCATACCACATTTGGACGACGTTTAACTGATAGAAACCAAGCCACATCAGATATTGCCAAACTTAATTGGGCAATTTTATTTTATATCGGTATGTGGAGTGTAGCCGAGTGCTAAGAAAGAATGTAACATTTTTTGAAAAAACTTACATTATTAATAAAATTTGATTTGACCGAAGCTTTTCGAGGCAATCGTTTCATCGTCAGGATCACAAAGTATAAATCACAAAGTGCTTGCTTCGCAAAGCTTCGGTCCGATCAAATTTTATTAATAAAATGTAAGTTTTTTCAAGAAATATTACATTATTTCTAGCACTTGGCTACACTCCACATACCGATATATTCAATGCTATATATTCCTTCTAGACTATATATACTACCTTTTAGACATTGTTCAATACAATGTTCGCAGAACTTGATTACTTTTTTACATGAAACCAATTGTGCGGATTTTAGTGCCAGTGAATGTGAATGTGCCAGTCAGGGGGTTCCGGGTTCGATTCCCGGCCAGACGACTGGAGTTTGATGATCCCAAAGTATAATGAGTTTATTTGCAGTGTGCAAAAAATTTGTATGCTCCTGATTTTAATTTGACCCTTTACTCCATTGTCCACAAAAATGTCAGTTCATTTTTGTTTGTTTAACATCTAACTACACAGGGGCTTCGGCAAAAACATAGGAGAAAACACGGGAAATAGGGCTAAAAATTACACATAAAAATTCAATACGTTTCGGCCCAAAACTGAGCGATTTTCAGTCGGAAAAATAGAAATAAAGTATAAAAATTCGAAATAATTCCAATAATTCCAAATTTTGTTTTCTCTCTTCTCTTCGTTTTGATTTTCTCGGCCATCATGTAGTCTGCAGGTTTCTGTTTGGAATTTTTATATTATATTTTACTTTTATTCTTCCGAGTGAAAATGGCTCAGTTTTGGGCCGAAAAATCTCGGATTTTTACATGCAATTTTTAACCTTGTTTCCCGTTTTTCCTCCTATATTTTTGATATCACTATTGTCATGGGCCGCTGTTTTTAAAAAATTCAACCTAGGACTTAAGCAAATCGGTGTGTTGCTCGTAACACTACATTTGTATCTGAAAACGAAATGTTCAAATGAACGCCGTTTTTAGCTTTCTTTTTTTTTTTAATAGTGTACTTTTATATGTCGTGATGTTTAGTGACCTGTGTGGCAACTCAGCTGAGAAACCGCTGATTATTTGCTAATTAAAAATAATCATTAAACGACTACATTTATACTCATGAAATCGAGAGGACTCGGATCGTCGATGTAACATTATCAAGGTTATCGCTTCATCTCACTCCTCACTTGCTCGCATTTTCGTGCGAATTTTTTATCATTTCTTTTTTCTCTCATTTTTTTCACACACAACACACCTTCTCTCCGTTCTGCTCTGTTGCATTATCTCGGGAAAAGACACGGCTTTGACTTTGACATTGACCGAGGTCCCATGCTCGAACATGAATCTTTATCTTGGTTTTTTCTTTGATTTCTGGCCGATCCTCAACGGTGTTACAACTTTTCCTTATTTTGTCCATTCTACAACCGGAACTTGTTCGATTGGAAACAGTTGGAATTGTGTGGTGGCAGTGTTTGGTCATTTAATTTAAGGATATTCTAGAGACTTGAACTGGATAACCTGTATTTTGTAAGTAGATCATCGTGTATTTGCAGGCGGTTCCCTGGAGACGTAGTTCTAATTGGATTGCATTTGGCAAAAATGAACCAGGAGCATTGCAATGTTGCTAAGATTGTAACCCTTATTTTGGCTTGGATGAAAAACCTGATTATCCATTAACAGTTCCTATTTTACTCGCTAAAAACTGTAAAATTAAGACAAAAATTACCATGAAAATGTTATATTATTTCATGATTTTAATAATAATGTTGCAAATGATGAAGTTGCACAATCTTAGGATCATTGCAATGTTTCTGGTTCCTTTTTGTTAAATCCAATCCAATTTTAGTTCATGAGAGGCAGTCAAACTTCTGCAAGATGCCCTTGTTAGACCACTAAATGCCGTACGTGTACGTGTACGTGTAGCCAGAACATTAATTAGCCATAATATTGTATTAGTTATAGTAGCTTTTAGGACATTATTTCCATATTCCTTGACACTACGATGCATGATGTGTACGTCATGCTCAGGAAATGTATACCCAGAAAAAACTATAAAGGTGGGTTTCTGGTGAAAATCCCAAACCATGCACTCGTATTCTTTCCAATGATAACTTAACATAATACGATGTGAAGCGATTTTTAGAGATTTTTCGATGAAGTAAAAAAACCCAAAAGTAGAAATTATGCATAGAATGATCGACTATCGAATTGTTCTCTGTGACGCTACTTGGTCACTTTAAGAAGAAACAGAGCAACCTATATAATTGTGAAAATTGTCTTAAAATAATTTTTGAACTCACCAGCAGCATATTTTCTTTATTTTGTCACCTTCCGGCCAAAGAATCACAAGCGGCATGCGAAGTTCCAACATTTCCGCCATTTAATTTTTTTACAGAGAAATTGTTTAGCGAATCAGTCCTAAAATTTCACTGAATTTTCTTTGTGCTGCAGATAAAATTTCATGAAATTTTCAAACAGATTCAACCAACAATTACTCTGTAAAAAAATAAAATGGCGACGGAAATTTATCAACGTCGCATGGCGTGTGTGATACTCTGACCGGAAGGTGAAGATTTATGAGGCAAAAGGCTCACATGATTTTGTATATATCGAGTTTTATTAAAAAATTTAATCAAAGACCTGTTGTTCTACATGAGGTATAGTTTTTTTTTAAATTTCTGGGATTTGACCAATTAAAATTGATCGCGTGATACTGCTCGTGTAACTTATCCTATGTGATCAATTTTCTTTGAAACACGTTTAAGAGAGCTAATTTGGACGCATTTCAGCAAGAGGAGGCTATCTACATTCGGAAATTTTGAAAAGAGACATAGAAATTACAGGGCAAGACTAGTAGCAGCCGTTAAATGGGGACGTTTTTGAAATTTGAAGAGACAAAAAGACTTGGCCCTGAGGTCAAAGTGGAATTTTCAAACACCACCCAAGACATCATTCAATGCCAAAGCCAGTTATGGGTTTTCAGTCCTCCTACAGACAATACAGGCTTCTCGTCAAGTAATGCAATTTTTAATTGGAGCATTACGGAAAATTAATCGATCTGCACAGAACCTTCAGGAAAACCCTCTCGCAGCTCGAGGCAAAGTCATGTCTTTTTTTCGACTAGTCCTTCATTTATGGCAGCGTTTAATCATTAAACTTCGTCTGAACTAGCCGCCAAACTCCACTCTTCGGATCCAATCCATACTTTAAAGGTGAATCTGAGTGAACGCATTTAAACAAAACAAGTCTATTTGAATTAATGGTTCTGAAAAAATACACATGAGCAATAGTTTCGAACTGCTAACTCGTATTGGACGCGAAATTTATTATTAATTTATTTATTTATTTATTATTTATTATTTATTATTCGATGCACGCGAAATTGGAGGACGCTTTGTTATCGCTTAATCCTCCTTTTAAGATTGCCCGGAATACACAATTTTTCTAAAGCTAACTTTATGACTCCAATCCTAGTATGTGACCCATCTCTAAAACAGTAAGGTTGGTGCCTCAACCTTTCAGTGTAGATGGATTTCTTGAGTTTAAGTGCGTCCAAATGATTTAGGGACAAAAACTGCCATATCACGTCACGTCACTGGACGACCGATGTATGCGGGAAGATACTTTCCATAAATTTTCAGTTCATGAAAAAACCGAACCGTGAATCGTAGCAGCATAAATACTGAGTTACCTACATGATACAGGTGGAATGGTGAGAATTCATCGCAAAATAATGAAAATTTAGGCCATTTTCAATTGGACTACATTTTGCAAATAGGAACTATAAATTCAGGCCTGGTTTAAAAACAACGTATGTGCCATTAGTTTCCCTATTCACATACGTGTTTTTTCAGGTGAGCCACAATTTATAGCTCCAAATTGCAAAATGCAGTCCAATTAGCAATGCCCGTTTTTCTGGTTAGTGAGATAAAGTAATACAAACCTTGACAAATTTGATCCTCGTGACTGTCTTATCAAAAAAAGCACTCCAGTCATTCATAAAAACACACTTAAAGTATGATAAGTATTGGACCTTAAAAACACTGGCCTTGGCAGCGAAAATTGACTTTACTCATCGACGGATCACTCAGTTTCAAATTAAATAAATAGAATCTTTATTATAAATCCCGATGAAGGTAAACTTCTCTTGCATAAGTGCGTCCATTTATTTTTACAGAAAATCTAAGAGAGCAACGAAAGTATGGACATAAAGCCTATGATAAGCCCTGAAAGACTTGAACAAGACGCGGAACTCCTCCAGGAATGGCTGGCCAAACAACCACACCTCCCAAAAATAGATGACAAAAAGCGGCTTATATGTTTCCTGCATCACAACAAATACAGCCTAGAAAAGACGAAACAAAAACTGGAGAATTACTACACGCTCCGCAACAAATACCCCGAGATCTTCAAGAACCGAGACCCGCATGGGCAAGCGGTAGCGCGAGCGCGAGTCTCTTATAACGTGTGTTTGGCCAAAACTCTCAGCAAGGATGGAGGAAGAATCATCTACGCACAGTAAGGATTTACTCGTTTTCAAACAAATTTAACATTGCCTAAAACTAAATTGGACGTGTTTGTGTTCAAAAGAACTATAAGCATGGGCTTCGCGTGCAACATAGTTTTTTCTTAGCATACATACTTTCAATTTAAGGAGCTCCTCTATGGTGTAATGTAGAGTACCTTTATACATCGATGGTGAAACTTCAAACCACGTATAGCTCGCCTTGCGACATTGCAGACTTCCGGTCACACTTTATTGTTAAACTAGGGAGCTGAAGCTGGCCGCTACGCGGACCAATACGAATTGAATGAAGAAATCGGTCTTATTTCAAACTTCACGCCAAGACTGAAACGAACCGGAACGGAGCGTTTCGTCGCTTTTATGCTAAAAGGAACTATGTGCATAGGATGTGCGTGTAAAATAGTTCCTTTTAGCATGTATGTCAAATTGAACGCATTTCTACCAAACGGAGCTATGTGCATTAAGCTATGAGCCCTAAGACCCATAAGAATATATGCATAATAGGGCTCACGTCAAAATGCACATAGTTCCGTTTGGCAGAAACACGTCCAATTGTCTGTCGATAGCCGCAAAAATCATGAAAATCGACCCAGTATAGAACGCTGGAAGTGAGCGTTACCAGATGTGCAAATTTAGAAGGTCTCGGAGCTTTTAGTATAGATGGAGAATGATAACTACTCAACGTCAACTCTTTAAAACTCTGTGAAAATTTCAAGGCATACAGTTGATTTTTTTCTCCTTGGAAAAAGTAAAGAGGGCGCAGAGATTTTGAAAGATGGGAAACAAGATTCGTGGTTTGGGAGTTTCACCGTCATTTCGGGATTCACTCATGATTGGCTCAACAATACGGGGCTACATTAGGCTGTCAAGGGTGGCGGAACTAAAAGTGGCGGAACGGTGTAAATGATTAGAATAAGGTAACAATTTCATGAATCTAATGAATAACATTAAGCCAATCGTGGTCTGGGACGTTACGTTGCGTCGTGGCGGAAGGATTACGATTATTTTGGATGAGAATAGGGATTATTTTGATTACGCACGAGTATTCCGAGATAAAATCATCAGTGGGGAGTGGGCTGACTATAGAAATTAAGAGACAAAAAATGGACGGATAAGACAAAGCTATCTAACTCGAGGAAGCGGGTGGTTGAAATGAACAAAGGTAATGAGAACTAGACTAACTCTCGGCAGCGACTAACTCAGGAGAGAGCTTGTAGTTGGTCAATAATTTTCCAGCTTAGTCTGTGAGTCTACCCGATTTCACCAATAGGATCCATCTATGTCCTCTTTATCGATCGTTTTGCCTTTCAATTTCAACGATCAGTCCGAAGGAGAATGTAAGTTTTACGCTAAATGAAAGCGCAATTTTGCTCGCCAGTTCGCCTTCAATCTTTTGGATATGCAGTAAGGACATGCGCCAAACACGAATAGTTGCATCAAGGCGCTAGCATCGGCAGAATATCTTTTCCACACAAAGTACAACTGAGGTAATTTTTCCGATTATCGTTGCCGCACAAACTCATTTTCGCATAAATCAGATCTCAAACATCTGGCAACATCGGCAAGGCATGCAGTTAGTTTCCCACAATCAGTTCATAGTGGAGCGGTTATTAGCGGGCAATGTAGCATGATTTTAATTCGGTTATCCATGTCAATTTTAACGAATATGACGTAAATAGTTATTTTAGTAAATTTTTAATCGCGCATGTTTCAAGTTTTATATTTTAATGGTAATATTTGGTATGCATTTTTAAAGCGTGTCTTAAATCGATATCATGCCCGAAAATTTTAAGATAATTGAAAGCAATACCGGGGTAACAGTATGCTAGTTCAAGAAATGTACAATGTGTAAGAATGTACAATACCGTTATTTTCGACTTCAAAAAAAGGAATCGTTTGGCGATGTTCCGACGACAAAAGTTGCTATGCTAATTTTTTCAATCTTTGTTCACTGATTTTTCTTTAATATGCCTCATATATTTCTCGACGTTTCCACAGACTACAGAAAATTATTTGTGCGAAAATGACTTTATGCGGCAACGATAATCGGAAAAATTACCTCAAATGTACTTTGTGGAAAAGATAATCAGTCCTAGCATCAACCTCTTCACACTACGTCGTTAAAAAAGTCAAGTTGTAGAAAAACGTCGTTTAATTTCTCGAAAATAATAAAGGAGAGCAGTCTCCCAGGTAATAAGGCCCTTATTCATAGAGCCGGTTACAAAGAGGAAAACTTACATAAGTTAAAGTTCAGTTTGGCTGCTAATATCTATGGAAAATCATGCTCGAAACAGGAGAAAAATTTTGGAGAAAATGCATTTCCTCATCTTCTATTTTTCTTCTCCTCCTCCTCATCCTCCCAATTCCCGCTTCGTTCTCATCTGGAGGCTGATTATTGAAATTGATAGCCAAATCGATAGACAAAGACAACAAATGGACGATGGAGCGACCCTATGGGCTAAAACGGGTGGTTGTCCTAGACTCGATGGACTGTCTTCTTGTGGGTTAGTTGGTCTACTGGTTACCTCCCTTGTCGATTGCAACCTGCCACTTCCACCGATAGGATAGCTTTATACCCCTTTTGTCTATCACTTTTAATCATCAGCCCGCTACCACAATGCCACATGCTCGGACTCCTAAGTACAACTCAAGTCCCTCAGAGCGGAGTTAAGGATAGATGAATCCGCACGGGCGTAGCTAGGTCATTTAGCTGGGGGGGCCTGGCCCCCCACCACCGGGGGGTCTGGGGGTATGGAATATCCCCCAGCTCAATGGGGGGTCCGGGGGGTCTCCCTCGGAAAATTTTTGAAATTTTAACTCTATTTGAGCGCATTTCGAGGCACTTGTGGCGCTAATCTGCTTCCTTCAATTTCTGCCTAAAAATCACCCAGTTTTATGCAGTCTTTTCTCTCCGCGTGGACAGGACTCATGAGTTAAGGACGAAGCGCGGGGAGCGCGTCTCTGGCGTTTTATATTTCCCATTCATTCGTATGGCCCGAGTACTAACGAGCACACCTCATCTTTCCCACCTGCACATAGTTCTGTTTCATAGAAATACGTCCGGTTAGCATGTGCTTTTATGGAAGCCAAGAATGGCCCATGGATAAATGAACAACGTTCCCTTTTGAAAAGGAGTGATTGAGAAAGATATCCTCTGGTTGCAGGCCGAACTCTGACACGAGCATCTACAATATAACGGATTTCATAACGTACGGGACGATGGTCTGCGACCTGTTCTTCCTGGAGCACGAACTGCACCAGTACTCGGCCAACATCACGGACTGCGCGGGCCTCCAGTACGGGCACCTGGTCCGATCCCTGCCGTGGATGAAAGCCGCCGTGGACATATTCCTCAACTGCTACGTCACCAGGTTCAAGGCTTTCCACATGATCAACGTCTCCCCCGGACTCGAGATCGTCTTCACCGGCTTCAAGAACTTCCTCCCGGCCAAGTACGTCGACCGCTTCTACGTCCACACCTCCGCCGAGAGCCTCCTCAAAGTCGTTGATAAGGAGCTTGTTTGTTCCGAGTACGGAGGCACAGGACCGTCTCTCGCCGAGTTGGATCGTGAGTTTGACTTCAAATCGTTCTTCACAATGGCTTAGTTGGACATATTTCTGTCAAACGGAACTAAGCGCCTTAGGGGGGGGGGGGGGCTTGGATTGGCGGCGGAACCGGGGGTCGGGCTCATTCTCAGGGCTCAGAGATCCAGATTAAGCCAGACTTTTACTTAAGATTGGGGGAGGGATTCCAAGTCAAAGCTGAGGATACCAGACTGAAATCGGCGCTGAGCACACATTTTCAGGAGAATTAAAGTATAAACCGGCACAAAGCGCAAATTTTCGTAAGAGATTGAGGGGGGGAGGAGAATAACCCAAGTCCAATTCTCTTGCTAGAACAAAGGTCACTGGACAGAAATTAGAAACGTAGGTTATACGTAAGCATAAGTTATACGTAAACGTAAGCATACTTTTATCGAGCGCCGCACAGCGGATCAAGTCAATGGACAAGATTTGGAAACTTTAAAAGCTCCTAACTCCGCGTACGTACATCAATTTGAAGTTTTACAGGGGATTCCATTGGTTTCGTCGTAAAACTTTCTTCAAGAGGCACCCCTTAAAATTTAAAATGTGACGAATTAAACATCAAAATTTGCAGTTTTAGTTGAAAGTTTTATTTTCAACCTCTCTGCTTTGCTCGACCTAATGTAAGCCGGGTCATTTTAACCCAATTTCGGCAGACTGGGGTTAGGAGCTATTGAAAAAACTGCTGAGAAGCACATCATGCAACAATGCATGCAATAGTGGGTATTTACTTACAAAATTTAATCGTTAAATATTGCGACATAGTTTCAAAAGTAAGTTTCAAGTGAAAATTGCACGTTATTTTTTCCTCTCTACCGATTAAATCTTACGTATGCGTATCTCGCCGTCCCTCTGACATAAGAGCATACCTCAATTTCCACATGATCCCTGTTCCAAATGAACGTATTTATGCCAAAAGGAACTATGTCTCATGCAAACCATATGCACATAGTTCCTTTTAGCATACATACATCCACATAAATTCGTATACTCTCTTGGGCTCATGCGGATATCGAGATACAACCTTGCGCCAGAGGAGCGACGATACTACAGCTTAATGGATATTTTGGGGATTATCACGAGAAATCCTGAAATCCATAATATACCGATTAAGTAAACTACTACTTGTTCTTTCTCGAAATTGATGTAGATCCTCCTTCAAGCTCTCTATTTAGGGCATTATGAATGGCTAACCTGAGAAAGACACATGAGCCAGCCACTTTTTGTGAGTTTCAGTGATTAATGAGTATGGAGTCCAAGGAGGTGAAGATATGCTTCTTGCGCATTTCGCACCTTGAGTTCTAAATCCAAGGGGTGAAAAAGCCAACAAGGTTCCGATTGCTTTCAAAATGAAGCAGATAAAATCGCAACATCATCTTTATTTGGAGTGCATTTTGCAAAAAGGAACCAAGAGCATTCCAATGTCGCTAGGATTTGTGGAACACACATTCTTTGCAACAAAATTACTGAATTAATGAAAAAAATAATTTTTAATTTTTTTTACAAGATAATTTTTCTATTCAAGGTACATTGATTATCAAGGTATCAGTTTAGATTTGCAAGGTACAGAAAGTTGCACAATCTTAGCGATATTGGAATGATCCTGGTTCCTTTTTGGAAAATGCAATCCATTTGATATACGGCACTTACTACCAATTTTCATCGCTATTGAAGCGCTGGGTTTAGAAAGGGGTTTTCTGGGTTGCGGGGTTTCAGGATCTCCGTTAGCGTGTCATCCACTATAATCAAAGAAAACGCATGGGATTCGTTGGGACTTTTGCTGGATTGTTTTCATGATTTTACAATGCTGGAAACTAAAGTTCACCCGATAGTTTCCACTCTAAGATATAATTTAGCAGTGCAGATTTTGAAAAACTGCGACTAAGGCATGCCCTTTCTGCACCCAACGCCTCAATTTTATTGCTTAGAAGAGTAGTTTAACCGTCATCTTAACTTTTAATCCAGGGCGCACAGAACTATATGGGACCCAGGCATCGTCCGTTTTTGGGTTTTAGAAGGCACGCAAGAGGCAATTTAATATTATCGCAAGGAAAAATAGAACGATGTTGCTGCGTAAAAGTAGCTTTTAGAAGTTTCAAAACATGTTTGGTTCGACGAAAGCCACGCTCAATTTTTTTTCCCTGCAGCAGCGAAGAGTTTTGGTAAAAATCCTTTTCTGCATCACCATAATGTTTCTCACGTCTCTAGTTTCTCTCTCTCTCTTAGCCATACAGTCTTCTATTCCTCATGAAAATCATTCGTGTGAAATTTCGTTACGATTTCTTGATTCCAGAGCACACCATCAAACTAGTCGAGAAATACAAGGACTGGTTTATCGAATCGGGCAACATCTCTTCGAACGAACAACTGCGGCGAAAAGGTGAAAATCAAGTTGAAGAGATGAAAGGATCCTTCAGGAAACTGGAAGTTGATTGACCTCTCCAACAATCAATCTTCTTTTTTTTTTGTTTTTTTCCTAAAAAAAAAAAAAAAAAATTATTTTCTGGTGGATTACTGGCATGACTTATTTTGAATTTTTCATTAACGATTGTAGTGATAAATCTAGTCCAGGAAGATGTGAGGTCATTTCCGTGAACATTAGGCAACCCTGAAAAATTAGGGTACATCTAAACTCAAGGATTCCAAGGTTGCTGCTCTGAGCTGGAATTAAAGTGGATTGCGACGGTTGAATATTTATCTGCTCAAAAACTTGGAATCTGTAATTTACCTCTTCTTCACATCACATCTTGCACGGCGCGTTCCTTCACAAATGTAACTTATGAATATTATTATTAAAATACGAGAGGAGATATTTAAAAATATGAAATAAAAATGTTTATTAAATGTTATGTAAATGTTTATTAAATTTAGTAATTAATTTGGTATTTTGATTGTGAGTTACCTACATAGTGATAACGGACATCTGAAAACCCTGGTAAAAATTGGCAGTAGAAGCTGTGTTCCAGAATACCGTAGACCTAAAACCGACTGTAAGATTTTCAATAGCTTCTATAGCCGGATGCACAAATTCTTATGGACTTTTATGGCCGATGGCGACTAAGCAACAGCCAGGCGATAAATTGTATGCTAAATGTTACTAATAACGGATGCTAGGACTTATTGAGTTTTTGGACTACCGCTCTATTTTTGGGCCGTAGTATCTTGATTTATTTTGCACGGAAAGCTGCGTACTTTTGATGCCTGCCATTCCTAATATGTTGGAGCGCCTTCAATTGCGTATGATACTGTGCAATACCTCTGGTGTGAAATAGTTGCTTCAAGCGCCGTGGCACGCTGCGGCGCGGCGGGTGGGTAGCCAGCGCGAAAAGCGCATTAGCGCCTACAAACCTAACAGGGAAACTTCAAGCATTCCGCAATGCGAGAAGTATCCCTGTTAGGTTTGTAGGCGCTAGTGCGCGCTTAACTCTGGCAGCACGCTGCTCCGCTCTGTGTTAGGCTCCAACATATAATCTCTCGGAGTCAGTGTTTTTCAACCCATGATTTTAAAATGTTTGCACATCCAGTATGGATTATTCTCATTTTAATTGATGAAAAAAAATATGTGTTAAAGGCAAATCTAATGTGTGTTTTGTAAAAATTATGGTGGTTCCGTATCAAACTTAATGGTTTCCAAAGCGCACGAATTTCTACACAATTTCTTATAGCCTTTTATAATCGATGGCGAAAAAGCAACAGCCAGGCGATAAAGTGTAAAGCCCGGCAATAGGAGCTATAGCCCGGCTGTATACTTTTTTTATCGCTTCGTATAGCCCGGCTATATGATTTGCTCCGCTTTCTACAGCCAGCAATAATATTTTTCTATTGCCATCTGTAGCCGGCTATAAGAATTCCTATGGTATTTTGAAACGCAACTCCTATCGCCAATTTTTACCACGGAAGCCGTATCAGTCCCTGCTGGGAAGCGTTATCATATTTTTTATTCACAAATTCATTTATATATTCATTCATCTCAATTATATTTATTGATGTTCTCTAATTTAAATGGAAGCAGAATATGCGAAAATAAAATTCCATATAAATTTGAACTTACTTAACTGAAAAAAATAAAAATTATTAGGTCTCTTGAAAAGGCTAGATGCTTCAAAGAATATTGAGGCTTGCATTTTTGCAGTTAAAATTTGTAAAACAAACAAATAGTAAAAAAAGAAAGAAAAAAACGGTTTTAAATTAAGTTAAACAAAAATTTTATGGTCAAAATAGAATGTCAATCACGGTGAAATTATATTGTAAGAACGAATCAGGAGGTTTTAGTAAATGAACGCTTGTTGATGAAAGTATATTCCCGAGCTTTTGTCCCCCTGGCACCATTGACGGAATTTATACAAAGTGAAAAAGTGCGTCTCCCCATTATCACGTTCAAAAAGCTCTGATATTATTTAAATTTTCGAAAACAATACTAAGCATAATGCATCTATCAGATAAAAGTTCTCAAGAGAGTGAGAAAACTCGTCGAACATTTAACGAGAAATTTGCGTTTGTTTTCTTTTAAAAAATAAATCAATACCGGAGAACTGCAACGTCATAACTAGAAAAATGCAACTCCTGATTCAGCCATTGATATGGTGTAATGATCGACTCGTAGTCATAAAATCTCAAAATCTATTCCTAAGTTTAATCTGCAACTCACAATTGATGGTTTAATAAGCCTGTATTACGGAGACTTTGCAATCAAATTGCTAATAAAGTGTCTCTCTTGAACAGCCAAATCATTGAACGAGAGCTTTCAGGGACATGGCAGCCGCTTGGGTCCAGAATTCACCTCTCTGCTTCTAAAAAGGAAAAGTTTAGATCACGGTGACGGCCTAAGACCAAATTATAGAGGAATTCACCTCTATAATAAGTCATACGCTCTTTGCAGAAACGGAATCTACAGAACACAGGAACAGAGTTGCCACAATGTGTGAAAATCATGCTGATTGCGCAGAGAAATTTTTGTCTTCAGTCTTTAGAGCTTTGGCCGTTTGGACAGCTTTTTCTTCCTAATTATGAACATCAAGAAATTTTACAGGTGCTAAGTGTCCCATGATTTTGGCCTGAAGCAGCTATTACAATCTCTTCTGCAGGGAGCGTTCAATTAGGCTCGGAAAGAGTGTTATAATAACTCACAATCAAGTCAGTTATTTGAATTGAACACGAATGAAATTGAAGAAAATTCCAAATAAACGATATTAGAAAAAAAAACTACCTTGCAGTGGAGCATACAAACGTAGAATTTAAGAGAGATCGATTTTTCTACTGACTGAAAATGCAGGAGTTTCCGATTCGAAATTCAGCAATAAGAATTTACGTTTCATTATTTTTGATTGTGCGAACAATTTACCTTCAAATATTTCAGAAAAATATGGTACATTAACCAAATTTTGGTAATTTATGCTCCGGTCAAAATGTTTCCGCATACAATGGTACTCTACAAAGATATTGTTAAATACACATTAGTTACCTACAAGAGAGATCTCCAATACGCGAGAATCAAGTGAAAAGAAAGAGATATAGTTGGCTACGAAGGGTAATTTAAATGGTAGGTCAAAAGAGCAAGTCTATGAAACTGTTCTCAGAAATGGACGTTATTGAGTGCAAAAAAGCATTTGGAACAATGTAAAATACTTTGGAGAGCAACATGACCTTCGGAGGGATTTAAGTGGTAGCAGAGCTGAAGATAATAATGAAGTTATGAGTTTTCAGCCGCGCCTCGTACGAGAATAACTTACATACGACGACTCAAAACTTCGCAACTTAAAATATAATTTGCATTATCTTGTACTTAACCTTTAAATTCTATTTTTGAATGGTTGCAATGCGCAGATTCATTGTCAAGGCAAAATTAAATGTTTTTATTTCACATTAAAATTACAATTGGCTCCTATTTTTATTTATCACATTTTCGAAAACTTATAAACAAATTTTGAGAAAAAATTTGGATCGATATTTTTCAACCTTTACAAAGTTTCTCTTATTTTTAAGATTTAGAGCCAAATTTACTAATAATTAAAATTCAAATATCAGCCTGACATTGAAAATTTGAACTGTTATTATCGCAATCTGTTGGTCTATACTTTTATTTGTACCTAAAAGTAACAAAAGTAATGATATCTTCTAAACGTGGCGTTCGCTACCATCCGGAGGCAATCAAAAGCTAAAAGAGTAGCCGGATTGTTTGAAAAAACCTACTATTTTACATTTAGCCGAATAGAGGAATGTGCTGAAGTTTCAGCATAATCTTTCAACAATTTAAAGCTGAGCTGCCGCGCAGGAAAAACGCAGCATGATTATTTACATGTTTTCAAACTCCAAAAAAGTGGTTATTTTGAAGAATGTTATTCTTTTTCTCTTGAAATTTACGTAGAGTTAAGATAGCATGGTGAAAATAAAATTATCTGAAAAATATTCGCAGATTTCTCTGAAAATTCATATTTAGTAGAAGGGATTTGGTGACGTCTGAAGGCCCAAAGACGTTCTTCCCGAATAACGGCTGTGCGCTGGTGAGATCAAACAATCAAACAAGATTATCAGTGGTAGCTTCAATAATAATTATAGAATATTAATTGAGCAGTCTTTAATGGGAAAATGTCGACTCAGCCATTCAAGCCACCAAATTTTTTCCCCTTCTTTTTAAAATGCATATAGTTTTATTGCATTTGCAATCTGAAGGGCTCAACAAAGAAAACGCGATTTGGTGACGAACGCATTGGCGGAGCCAGAAAATGGGCAATATTGTTTTTCTCCGTTTAAATCTATGGAAATGTATCGAGACAAGGAGGAGCCAGGTGCTCCAAAAAGAATCATCGATTATTTAACATAGGTTTAAATGGAAGGAATCCGGAGTTGCCAAATCGCTGGGTCCGCCTCTGGACGAAAAAAAACTGGCTCATAGAGACTAGACGGTGCCGCGTTACAAACACACGAATTTAATGACGTCATTCAGCTTTGGAGCGAATATGAATAAGTGTCGCATCTCAGACGTTGACCTCTCTCTAGCGCCTACTAGCAAGCTTCCGAAGACAGCAGTAAGTCCATCTAGGTGTGAACCATAGAGTCCATAAAGATACACGCAAGCCACGACTCATTCTGCAAAGCACTTACTGTCGTCTCACAGAGCACAACAGCTTTTAAAGTGTCTGGGCCATACCGAACGCGATGGTCATCAACTCGAATTCAAGGTTACCTCCTTTTGACTCCAAAATCTTCGAGCGCTCCGCGCTTTTTTTCCCACCGGTGTTTAATCCTTTTTTATTCGTGAACACTTTTTCATACCAGCTTTCTGCCTTCATTACATAGGCTTTACTATGATGATATAATTTAACTTATTCCATGCGGCGGCTGTGAACCAGTTTCATAATCGGTTACGTTTTATTGGAAAACAATTCGGATGGGGCATGCCCAGTCGTGCGTCACTTTTGATGCTTTTTTCCAATG